CAGGATGCGCCTCGCTCGAGCCTCGCCTTGCGTCGGGAGCGGGGCCTTATCGGATGCACCCTCAGATTCTTACTCTCGACTTTTTAGACAGTCCCCAAGAGGGGCCAGTTGTAGGGGGGCTAGTAGTAGTACCCCCCAGTAGGGCTCTCGGTGTGGCGTTTTTTTCCATTATAAACGTTTTGACGTTTTAAAACGTCGGTTAAAAAAAAAAAATCCTCTCCTTCCAGAAGAGACCAGAAGTTACGTAGAAAGAGGAGAAATGTGTCACTTGAGCGAGACAAATTAATCTACCAACTGTAAGTTCGATGTTTCAAAAACCAGTTCTGTAGTTTCAGTGTAAATTGTGAACATGATTCCAAAGCAAATTCCGTTAATACAATGAACTTTGACTTAAAATGGAAGGAATTTCCTTTTAATCGTGTACACAATTGACTTAGGAACGATGGAACCGTTTTAAAGGTAATATTCATGAAATCAAAGTTAAGGTTTTCTGTGTGCATGCATATAGGATTGAGCGTGTGGCCTTTATTGAGGGGGTATCTCTAGAAAACTGTTTGAAAGATTGACTGTGGGTGTTCTAATACCATGCTTTTCCTGTGTGCAGGAGTCGTACCGGCGCTGGGTGTGCAGCAGCCTCCTGCCTCACTTCCCCCGCCCGGGCGGCCCGCGGGTGCGGCCCTGCAGGTCCGTGTGCCGCTCGGTGGAGCAGAAGTGCCCCTTCTTCCTTCCCGGGGACCGTGCTCCGGCGTACCCGACCCAGTACGCCGGGGAGCCCACCTTCCTCTGCCTGGGTAAGTCAAGCGCAGGTGTGTAAAACAGAAAATAAGTCACACTTCCCATAGTAACATGAAATATCTCTTTTGGCAAAGTATCAGAACTATGCTGCGTTGAACAGTTAAAGGAATGTTTTTGACAGTCAAGCGATTTTTCTTTGCTGATCAAAGTTCAATTTACGTAACGTCGGCGTATAGCTTCTGTCCCCATTTTGGTTGATAAAATTTT